TATATATCTAACCTACTCTTAAATATCTCCAGAGATGGAAATTCCACAACCTCTCTAGGTAACTTATTCCAGTGTTTCACCCCCTAACAGTTAGGAAGTTTTTCCTAATGTCCAACCTAAACCTCTCTTGCTCCACTTTAAGCCCATTGCTTCTTATCTTATCCTTAGAGGCTAAGGAGAACAATTTTTCTCCCTCTTCATGACACCCTTTTACAAACCTGAAAACCATTATCGTGTCTCCTTTCAGTCTTCTACCTGCCAAACTAAACAAGCCCAGTTCTTTCAGTCTTCCTTCATAGATCATGTTCTCTAGACCTTTAATTATTCTTGTTGCTCTTCTCTGGACCTTCTCCAATTTCTCCACATCTTTCTTGAAATGTGGTGCCCAGAACTGGACACAATACTCCAACTGAGGCCTAATCAGCGCAGAGTAGAGCGGAAGAATGACTTCTCATGTCTTACTCACAACACACCTGGTAATGCATCCCAGAATCATGTTTGCTTTTTTTGCTACAGTGCCACAAACATAACATGTATAAGTAATTTAACCTTAAATTGACTTGTTAATGTAAATCTGACCTATACAATTTTCCTAGCTGAGAAAGTTGGAATTTACATTGCTTTAACATACAAATTGTGCTTTGGATATCTTTCCATGTCCAAAATGTGTGCTTATCAGACAATGATATTGCACTCCAATAATTTACTCATGCACAGGTAAACTTGATTTTTTACACAGTGCCAAGTATGAAGGCATGTTAGAGCATTAGCCTTTTCTTCTGGCCTTGCTCATGTCGCAGTACAATAGAGTGCAGAGAGATTAACAATTAATATATTTTCACTTCTCAGGGTAGGATGGGTAAGTCAAGAAATTAAAAAAAACCACACAGGGTGGTATGCTTAGGACATTCTTACAGTTTGGAGCCAGTTTTAGGTATATAGTTTTAATATCTTTTGTAAACAAATATAGGCATCACTGAAGAAATGATAAAGTTTGACTGTTGGGTTGCACTTATTGTATTGAATAATAATGTGATATTCATACACTTTGTGTTATAAGTTTTAATATACAACTCTCCTGATATTGCATTTCAGGAAAGATGTTTGATGAAGTTAGGATTCGTAATTTTTAATTAAAATTGTTGATGTTTAGAATCAGACCAAAGAGCTATTTTAAAAAAAAATCTTCATATAATTACTACCATAAAAAATTAAAAGACACATTTCACTGAAATGTTGTAAATCACATACTCTTGCAACAAGCTAATCATATTGTATTGATCAAGTAGTGGACAAAAAGTAAACAGGCTGCAGCAACTCTGACTGGTACATTTTAAAAACAGCTTTCTGAATGTTAGCACTGCAAAACTCCTCCTAAGATTCTGAAAAGCCAGTTGGGTCTTTCTGCTTCTTGCATCATCAATAGTGATAAGATGCTGCAACCAGAAGTCAATGGATGGCACTGAAAATGATGCAGAGGAAGAATAAAGTTTCACTTGCTCCCCTGTAGCTCTGTTGGCTCTGCAAGCCTCACAATAGTGAGACAGGAAATATGACTCAAAGATGAACAAGGTGCTGGCTCCCTTCTGTACAAAGGAGTTCGTTTTATCTAGGTAATTTTTGTTGCTTTATTAAAATGAAAAGATTAACCTCACTGGCATCTGTGAGATAAAAATATCATGTTCTAACCCAAGCCCGGTCAATGAGTGTAAGAAATGACTCTGGTGTTTCTCCTAGAAAGAAAGAAGTGAACAGCAGTGAAATATCACTCACATTGGGGTTTTTGTCTTCATCATACTTATCAGCATGATAGGCCTTGTATCCCTCCTCTGTCGAGCCACGAAAAAGATTGGCAATGTTTCCTCGAGCAGAGAGGAAAGGACTGCTCTGAAATTCGCTAGGGTTACAGAAACTGTACATGTCAGTCCTTCTCTCCGAAAGTGGTCGCCCTAGATGCATAGCCCTTGCCTCCTGAAGCCCCCCTCCTCCTCCCATCCCAGGGATGTCAGACAGCAATTGGATGAAATCCAAGCCCCGGGGCAGTGTAACAGAAGAGGAGGAGCCACTGTTACTCTGCTTTAAGATGCTAAGCATCTGAGCAAAGACATTAAACATGCGGAACTCATGCTCTCGCTCCAGTTCAAAACGTCGCTGCTCCAATTGCATCCGTCGTTCCTCCACTTCCATATCTCGCTGCAACCGCCGCTCCTCCATTTGCAGAAAGCGCTCCTCCATGGCTCGCTGTGATGTCAGGGTCTTCAATAGGAGATCATCAAGGGGGTCCTTCACTCGCTGGCCTTTCCGTTTCTTCCGCAAACGGTGCAAAGTGGAGAAGCCAGGCCGAGGTCCCACACTCTGGATCCGGGATGAGGATGCCATGTTGGGCTCACTGAAACCTGCAGATATTCAGAGACAAAGAAAAAACTAAATTTGCAGCAATTCATTCCAATGATGACAACACAGTGTACTGACTGATATGAATATGCACTGTCCTCTACTGGGCCAGTATGATCTAGGCCTGCTTAGGTAACTCGCACTGCCTTTCTCTGACAAGAATCAAATCTGTCCATGATAGAATCCCACAGGACAGGTGAAGTCAAGTCTATCAAGCACAGCCTGAATGTTGGGGGGAAAAAAACACCACATCTTTTTCTCCAATCTCATATGTTGATTTCATCATTATGCATCCAAGCAAAAGTCTATTTACATCAGTATTCTGCCTCTAGCAATCTTAAAAACTGACTATAAAGATTGACAAACCCCCTCTCCTGAATAGTGCATTTGGCCATTTGAGAAAACAACATGGTGAGTGAAGAAAGGAATCCTTCCTGACCTTACAGTGATCATCCTGAGGTCATTGCCTCACCCATCTGTCCCCAACCATGCTGTATGTATCCAAGACTCCATCCATCCCAGACTTCTCTAAAATGCCAATGAATTTCTAGACTAGATGCATGGAAGCCAATTTTGTAGTTCAGTTAAATTTAAGGTAAAGATGTATCTTCTTTTACTACATCTAAATGTGCTTCTACCAGTCACTCTCAAAAAGTTTACCCTTTCCCAAGTTCTTTTTTCAGTCTCTCAATATACTAACTAGACAGAACATGTCCTCCATTAGTCTCAACTGATACATGGCTAAAAAGACTTGCTACAAAGACACACAAGAAAGGAATGCAAATCTGTGGATATCCGCTGATCATGTTTGTGGATCACAGATGGATGCAGATTCAAATTTCTATCTAGAGCCATACAAATCTGCAGATATCTATTTTATATGCAAAGGCCATGTCTGCAGATCGCAGATTGGATGTGGATACAAATGCAAGGTCAATGGATTCATCCAGAGTCTTTTAACCTATTAGTGAAAAGAATAGGGAGTCCTATCACAATGTAGTATGAGGATTCAAGAAACCCTTTTTAATGTTCAAATGAGACCACAAAATATGAAAACTGTATCTGGATTAGGGATGTGAATGGTTAACCGGCAGCCTGGCCAGGATGGAGCAGCCCCCCTCCCACCCGCATTTAAGCGGTTAACTGATTAAATGGGATTTTACATCCCTAATCTGGCTTTAAGATGCGTTGATAGAACTAACTACATAGAGGAATCTGGCATAGCACCTATGCCTGACTCTAGGACATGTTAATTCCTCAATCTCACATATGCTAATATGCACTGATTTTGTGTGTCTTTTACCAACTTCTACTAAGATGTTTCAGGGATCAATGAATAGTTATTAATGCAGAACTTATTATTCTATATTAAAACTATTTGGGACAGTGAAGACCTCAGGGTGGAAAATAGGGACAGCAACCTCAACAAAACACATAGATGGCAACATTGAGACACAAGCTCTCTGTGGGAAAGAAGAGAGAAGCCTAAGGCTTGAATGAGAAGAGACTGTCCTACCTGAAGGTGAGACACTGGTTTCAATGGGAATTTCCACCCTGGAGATGGGAGAGTCATTCTGGGCCCTGTCCAAGAAAGCTCTCTCCATCTCATGCTCCTCAGGGGAGCCGTGCTGGTAAGACATGGACAGTGGGGGTTCCGGGGTCAAGCAGTGTTCATCAGAGTCCACCTCCTCACATTTGATTTCCATTAGCTCGGGGTGCTGCGAGTGTCCAAAAGGTAGAGCTGAGGGGGTGAAGTGATGATGGTAGTTCTCCACCATGCTCCCTTGCAATGCCTGTGGAGTCACCACACTGCCACTTAAGGAACTATAGGCAATAGAGGACCGGCTGGTCAGCACCCGGTCCATCACCTCATAGAATTTCCAAGTCCTGCCACCCCTTGGGGTCTTGTTGTTGTCCTTGATCCTACGATACTCCAGCTTCATCTTTTTTATCTTCTCTCTGCACTGGTCCCCAGTGCGATGGATGCCCTTCTCCCTCAACACCTCAGCAATCCGGTTGAAGACATGCTGGTTTCTCAGGCAGCTCTCCAGCTCCATCTGAACTGACTCATCAGCCCAAAGCTGCAGCAGCTCCACCACTTCAGGATCTGACCAATTACTACCCCGCTCGTACTTCTTCCCCCGAAAATCCATTATTCCTGCCCCCCACCCCAGTAAAGGCAGGAACTCCTGGGGTGTGGGGTCAGGAGTAAGTGAAGGGATGCAGGGGGAGAAGATGGTGACAGAGTTTCAGTACTTAGCCTAGGTGTAACAAGCCCCCAGGAACGGAGGGGGTAGGACTAACACAAGGCTGGGGCCATCTGTGACAGGAAGGCCTGGCTCAGCCAAACCATTGGGGGGGGGGAATCCTCTCCTTTAGCCGCCTTAGGAAGGCTCTGCCCCCCCCTCCCCCTGGGGCGAGGGGCTCTGCCCCGCCACGCGGGGGCTCTGCCCCTCCCCCTTTCCCCGGGGGGAGGGCTCTGCCTTCTTCCCCCCAGGCGAGCGGCTGGCTCGCTTGGGCCCGGCCAGGCTCGGCTCGGCCCAGCACGGCTCAGCCCGTCCGCTCTAGCCGGGCGGGGCAGGCTCCGGAGTGCCTGGGCGGCATGTTCACATCCGGGGTGACGGCACATGCGTGCTGCCCTTATTCCGGGATAACTTTGGTCCGTGTCAGTCACTCGCTTCGCTCTTCACGGCCGCGCTGGGCTGGGCGAGCCGCACGG